CACAGTTCTGTTACGGCTAAAACTTAATTGAGGAGTCATCCTGCATTTGAACAGCATAGATCATATTGAGATGACCAGGTAATATAAAAGTATACATGATATATAAGTAAAATTCATTAAAAGCACTCGAAAGGGGAGCGTGCACGAGGACCAAAGCATACAAAGAAGAATAGCTATACTCTCAACCTATCTACAAAACCCAAAAATATCCCCCAGAGATGTACAATTTTGCCCCTTAACTCAAAAGAATAAAGAACTCAAAATTTATTACAGCGCTTCACATAAAGAATATTACATTCAAAAAAATCTTATACATTCAGGTTGATATTGTTTCCCCTGCCCCCGATAAGTGAGTGGGTGATATCCCTTGTCAAATTAATAAAGCATATCTTTACTTTGCCAAGCAAAGATTCCTGATCCATAAGTAGAATGCATCATGTCAGTCAATAGGGGGAACTGCAAAAATGCAAATAATGTTACTGGAACACAAGCGGTTAGCGCCACAGGAATGACAATCCATGCCAGTTGATTGCCAAGTAGAACGAAAAAGGTTGCACTAAAAGCGATAAGCATTGATGCTATAGAGAAGAAGAGGGTTGTAAGACCAATAATCAACCTCTTTGGTAAGGACTCAAGGAAATCTTCCTCAGCATATCGTGAAGTGAGGATAGATAAAACATTAATATTGAAGTAACAGAGGAAAATAGTGCAGATGCATCTGATATGGCAAAAATTATGAATGACTTGGCTTGAAGAAAATTGGGCGTGCCTTGAAGAAAATTGGGGGTTCCTTCATTACTGTTTCCTCCCGGTACAGTAAAAATTGCAGCAAACATCACTGTCGTAATAAGCGTAGCGACAAGCATGCATGCTGAGGCAGTGTCTTTCATCCACTTCTCTCCTTCTTTGACCAATTCCTTATGCTCCTCAGTAAATAACATTCGGGGTGTTCGACCTTCTGTGTTTCTCATCTCTCTGTATAATGGTTGGACATTCTTCTCCACTTCCTTTGAATTTTGAGAAGAATAAAACATTACAAAAACAAAAAAGCATTTTTAAATGAGAACAAAGATTAAAAAGTGCTATAAAACACAAACTAACAATTACCTTGAACCATAATAATTCTCGTTGCATCTGAAGTGCGGCACCAGACACAATATTAAGTCGATTTGAAGGAGCCAACTTTCCAGCCAAGTGTAGCATATTATTATTGTTTGTATCTTTATAAGAAGTAATTAAATCTTTATGTGCTCCTATGCCATAAATGAGTTTGAATATCTTCTCTTGGCGATGCATAACTGCAATATGAAAGATGCTTCGGCTTTGCTCATCTACTTTCCAAATTAGATCAGGATAGGGACGAATAAGCTCAACGATAAACTCGAAGTTTCCAAACTCTACAGCAACAAATAATGGTCGTGAAGGGCTTCTAAGTAAGTCCCCAATATGCGAGTCACCCAATAGCAGAACTTGTTCCCAAAGACACTCGAGCAACTTTAGGGCTTGAATGCTTAGTAATTTTTCCTCTCGAACATCCATCATTCCTAGCATCGGAAGAAAACCTAACTCAGTCAATGAACAAGTGAAGATGTAGATAAGAAATAAAAGTTGTGTCATACCTACAACTTCTGCTGTGTGCCAAACTAGTCTAAATCTCTTTTCTTTTTCTTTAAGTAGAGAGAGACTACAAAATAACATATCATTATTGTTTTTGGAAAAAAGAAATCATATTTTGTTAGGAAAACTAATTTAATAAATAGGAAAATACTTTTTTTTTTTTGATAAGTTAAAACAAATAACAAGGAAAATAAATAGGAAAATACATTTACAAATATTTTCCACTAAATTTGATTTTTTATTACAAAAAATCATATCAGAAATTTTAATCTTTGTTAAATAGTCTTATGGTTATGTTTATAATGTCTTGTAAAAGATTTAACCAAAGTTACGTAGTCTAACAACATGCCATAAATGACTAGTATGAGTTAGAGGGATAACAATAGATAGAGTACGGACCTTTGGAGTTTTTGTGCTTCTGGTATTTGGACAAGCTAGAGGTGTCCCCGGATTCATCAGGTGTTTGTGTGTGGAACCCTTCAAGAAAAATAATTTAAGTTATATTTACAAACTAATGATTTGGATCAACCAATGTTACTCAAATTTATAGCAGTTCTCCATTCTTTTACCCATTCATATTCCTATTGCCCAGGTTGTTGAGTAAATCCTACTCTCTGGAACTAAGTTTTACCAATGGTCTCAGAAACATTACAAGACGAATTCATTTCCTACATTTTAATCTCAAAGAGACCATGGGAGTCCGTCGACCACATTGTCCCATTCAAAAGGTGTTGGTGAATATTTTCCATGCAAGGAGACTTGTGGGAAAAATAACTTGCAGACTAGAATTCTTCCTTGCACAAGTCTTACTTGGTCTTCTTGGAAATACTTCCCTTCTGTCCCCACATTTTAGGGTCAATTTGATGCTTTTCTTTTATTTGAACTTTGTTATTTAGGAGGGAAGTCTTCTATATTAGGTAGTCTGCCACTCAGCCTCCTTCCCTTGTGATTAATTTTTCCATAATGATAAAGTGGCAATTTCTGTTCCCGGCTCCTCATCATCTAATGTTCCCACATCCTAGTACATTTTTCGCTAAACCTGTGCAAGTCGGCTTACTTAAGCACGGGCTAGCTAGTGTTTATGAACCAATCCAATCCAAGCAAAGACAAATCTAATGTATAAGCTTTTTCTGTCCCATAAATGATTAACCTGAACACACTCAACTTTATCATCATTTTCTACTTTAATTTCACCATATCTTTGCATCTACTTTATGATTATTTTCTCCCTCACTTTTTTTCTTTTCTGCTGTCTTCTAGTTTCCAATTTTTTTTTTCGATCAGAGAGATTTCTGATCCAAAAAGTTAAAACTCCTTGGCATGCTGATTGAGTTATATCTTCTAATGGAAATCAACATAGCAACATTTTAGAGCCAGTTAGGTGAGCCTAATGTTGCATGCTTGTTTGTTAAGAAATCAAGCTTACAATTCAAGCTAAACTAGAGTAGATTTGCATGGTGAATAGCCTTGCTACTGAGCCATGATGGTAGCCCAGCAGTGGCAGAACATTCACAATAAGTGTGACATGGTGAATCTTGAGTTGTGTAAAACATCGTGATGATTACAATTAGTAATAAGAATATGAATTCACTAGGAAATGGAGAAACTAACATGGATATATACATCTCTGCCAGATTCCTAGCTGACTTGTGCCAGAAAATGCGAAAGGCTTTCGAGCTAAAACATGAAGGGCTGTCTCACCATTTGAGTCCCGCTGAATGGCTAATCCTGGTCGGGGCTTGAGGAGGTCCAAAGCTACATCTAAGAATAGCATGACACAGTTGATTAGCTTGTTGACAGTAGTTTCTTCAATACAGAAGTATGTAAAAGTAGAATGTTACCTTACCATACAAGTCAGAACTGATAGTAGCCATAAGTAGTCCAATATAGTCTGCCTCTGTTAGATCTTTATCATCAGTGACCGAGTAGAGATACCACACCATGTCCCTGTAACCTAACAAAGCAGCCATGTGGAGTGCTGTCACTCCCTTACTACCCCTCACTGCCGGCAAGTTCTTGTTCTTTTTCACCATTACCTCTGCAATCCTTGTAATTCCTGTTGCAGCAGCAAAACAAAGTGCTGTATTGTCGTACTTGTTTTGCAATGCTAAATCTTTAGCATCCATAAATTTGACCAACTCCTCCACAAACTTGGTCTGCTTGGCCCCAGCAGCAATGTGAAGGGCTGTTTCCCGCCCTTTTGTGATCCTAGCAGTTAGGGCATGCGGATGCAATCTGATAAATTCTTTAGCCTTGTCCCAATCACCTGTGAGTGCAGCTTGGTATAGTGGCACATACATGGTAAGATGTATGGTTGGTTTAGTCCCTGCCAGAAATTATACAAGTACCGCAATTGAGTCACGACTTATGCTAGTGATATTAACAAACTTAACAAGTAAGTTTCTACCTAATATAACTAAGAAATTGCATCTATGTATTGAGGAAGCAATGCTGGTGATGTTGAAATTTTAGTGGTTGTATTGGCAATGATGGTATGGCTCAGCAGTGGTTGTGGTACTTGGACATTGTAGCAGTTATAAGTTTGATTTGTTCCATATTTTTAAGTTTTTACATTTCAGTATAAGATTAAGTTCAATTACTAGCTGGTATATGTTGAAGAATTTAAATATTCAAGTTACTCCCTCTATAACAGCTTAAGCTTTTAGAGTAGAAGGTTGTTAACATGGTATCAGAGCAAGTTAGGTCCTGTGTTCAAACCTCACTGTCGCCCTGCTTAAAATTTTTTTTTTTCCTAAATGCCCTGCTTTAAAATTGAAATATGCTTTGGACCAAAAGAAGACCAACGTGATGGGGTGTGTTGAAGGATTGGAATAATTAGGTTACACCCTTTCTAACAGTTTAAGTTTTTAGAGTAAATGGTTGTTAATAGTATACATAATAGGAAATTTTGACTTTATTAAGGGGGAATTATTTATTTGTTTGTATATTGACAGGGGATAGTTCAGTTAATTGTAATTACACTTTATTTATTGTATCCAAATAACAATGGATTTTTTTTTTTTTTTTTTTTTTTTTGCCAAAGGTTAACATATTTTGACACAAATTAAAAACAAATGAAAAAGTGTTCATGAATGATTTGGTTTTGCAGGGTGAACAAACTAAATTACTTACTAATGGAAAATAAATAAATCATAAAACCAAGAAAAAGACTGTGTGAAGAATAGACTTGCCAACTCGTAGAAATGAACTGGGTAATGTTGGCACTGCTACTGAACCATTGGCACTGTTAGTGAGCTGAACTGAAACAATTTGTGGTGGGGGCAACGGTGGAAGCACATCAACCCGAATTTCTCCATTAAAACTGCTTGTAGCTAAATGATCAATATTTGCTTGTTCTTCACCTGTTGTATCTATTGTTCCAGATTCATATAGGCTTGTCGTGGAGTTTGGATCGGAGTATCTTTCTGGGAAGCATGACTGGATTGAATGACTTCGTCCCAACTCCTTCGAGCTGTTCATGTCCTACTCTCAATTTGCAATAAATGTTTCAAAAGAGGAAATGTGATAGTAACAAACTGATGAAGATTTTAGAGCAGTACCTGGATTATATATGCAAAAGAAGTAAAGTCTATTGAGGGACAGCAAAGAAGTTTCCTTGGGTTAGGGATGTGTCACTACTGCTTGTATGTACTAACCCAGAAAGTCTAGAATTCTGTCATCATATATCCGTGTGTGGCTTTCAGGGTATATATGATACAAGTATGGGTAATATCCTTCTGGATGGTCACTAAGCTGGTGTCTTCAAGTAAGTTTCTTGGCTCTTTAAGATTTTGACCTTTTTTTTTTGGAGTAATTTCTTGGCTCTTTCTAATTTGACCTTTTTTTAAAAAAACAAAATAAAAAAACAAAAAGTCTAGTTTCTTGGCATTTTATATTTTGACCTTTTTTTCAAGTAATTTCTTGGCTCTTTCTATTTTGACCTTCTTCTTCTTTTTTTTTTTTTTAATTTTATTAATCTAGTTTCTTGGCCTTTTATACTTTTGACTTAAATCACACGGATTCACACCAATTGTTGAGAATCTGTTGCCAGGAAAAGATGTGAATGAGAAGTTGTTCAAGGTTTTGCATAGGGTATAAGTATTGTCCATATATTTCTTGGTTACCAATGGTATAACCTTCTCATCCTCAAATAGGAGGGGAGGGGTTTGAGCGTGGGAGTGGGCAGAAGTTTGAGTACTTACCTAATCAATATATATATATATATATATATATATATATATATATATATTATTGGCCCCTAAGCTGGTTTCTAGAAGTTTCTTGGCTCTTTATATTTTGACATTTCTATTTAAGTAATTTCTAGGCTCTTTATATTTTGACTTTTTTTTTTTTTTTTTTTTTTTTTCAAATTAGTTTCCTGGCTCTTTTGATTTTGACTTAAATCACACGGATTCACAAGAAGTGTTGAGATTAGCAGGAAAAAATGTGAATGAGAAATCACTCAGAAATGATGCTTGGAGAGTGATTAAATTGACTAGGGGCTGTTGAATTCCAGTCCCCCCATATGGGACCCACATTGTACGTGTGGGTTTGGTCACATAAATTTTGTTTTTTATTTTGTTTAATAAAATTTAGGACAAATTGCATAAAAAAACCCATCGACTTTTACCCGTTTGTTAAAAAACTCCCCTTATGAATATTTTTAGCAATTAACCTCCCTCAACTAGGGATGGCAACGAGGGCGGGTTTGGACGGGTGTACCCTTCCCCGCACCCGCATCCGTTTAAAAATTCCGCCCCCGTCCCCATCCAAAACTTAAAAACGGGGGAACTTTCCACTCCATTCTTGTAACCGTTTAGCATTTTTACCCCCGCGGATACCTGCCCCGTCCCATTTAAGACTATAATTTAATTATTGTTGAAATGAACTTGCTCTTCTTTTTTTTTCCTCTCATTTTCAATTATTCATCATTGCAACTTTTTTTTTAATAATTTTTTTTGTTATTTTAAAATTATTATATAGGGTACTTAATATATAATGGGAAATATATATACTAATGAAATAAGGATACTTAAGCAATTCGCCTATTTAAACGGGACGGTGCGGGGCGACCTCTTCCCATCCCCGCATCAAACCCGCACGGGTTTTTATTACCTCAAACCATTTTTGCCCAGATAAGCAAAACGATCTCCCAAAATTGCCAAAAACAGGGCGGGGTGGGGCAAATTGTTACGGGAGCGGGTCAAATTTCCATCCCTACCCTCAACTATCATGAAAGGGTATTCTAACTAACTTTTATTAGAGTGATTGTGTGATAAAATTTTCGGATGGAATTACCCTTAAAATCAAAATAATACATTAGTATTATTAAAGTATCCAACACTCACTCTATTTTTATTTTTTTAACTGCATAAAACACTAAAACGAGGCCTCTTATTATGAAACGAGGCTTTTGATTTTTTCTTTCAAAATGTTCTTGCATTTGAAATATATATAGTAGTATGGTAGTTATTTATCAAATGTCAACTTAATTGATTTTGGTGAAAAAAAAAAAAAAAAAAAAAAAAAAAAAAAAAAAAAAAAAAAAAAAAAAAACAAACTTGTACCATTTTTTTTATATAAAATAAGATAAGGAGAGAGATATATATACGAGAGATTCAAAAATATCCTTACCATGATTTTTTATAAAATTTAAAAGCAGAAATTTATATGATTCTAAAAAATTATGGATATAGCATACCCAAAAAAAATGTAGTGATGTCTACGGTAATATCAAAACAAAACTCCCCTCCCCCATCCGGCAGTACCACCCAAAATATATTTCACACTTATTTTTTTTTATTTTTTTATAATCAAAAGATATTTCACTTAAATAATAAATATTTGTTTGGATTATCTTTAATTATTTATTTATTTTTTTAGAAAAAGCATTTATTAGTACATAAAATTTGATTTATTTCAACATTATAAATCTTAATCTTAATATTTTTCTATTAATGATCAATTAAATACGGTCAATTGTATGATGACACGTTTTCTTTGAATTCGGTCTTAAAAGTATTGGCCAATAAAGCACTAACACCAGTCCTCACTCTAAAAGCAGAGATTGACTTAATTGATGGGAGGAAGAAAAAACAGTTGTAGTACTTCCTCTCTCCCATAATAGTTGGGATATATTGGGATTATAACTTTTTATGAAAGTATTTTTTATTGTACAAATAATGAGTGAAGTTCTATTTTTATTCTAACTTTTATTGTACAGAGATTTAGTCAAATTTTAAAACGTGGGAAATTACTTTGTACTTCATTTTGTCGGGGTATTACATTATTTACTTGAGAAGTGATACTTCTTCCAACTTCAATTGCCGACTCATTCTACGAATACAACGTAGTTGGAAATGAGTCGAAAAGAAAGAGATGTTTACGGAATTTTGTTTTAAAAGTTTTAACGTGATCCAATCACGTTATATTCGGAATATGAGTCGATAATTAAAGTCGGAAGACCTATCATTTTTCTATTTACTTTGAAGTTTCAATTTTGAATGTTTATTTGTGTGATGACAGTGACGTGTATATAGTACCATATGGTGGGGCATGACGTCATTTATTTTTCTTTTGAAAATTTAATGTCTTTAATCAAACAAATGAAAAAGGAGCAATTTGAGAATTTGATGAAAAATAGTACGTTTATTTTTTAAAATGGACATGTATTTTGGGACGTTTCAAAAAAGAAAGATGAACATATATTTTGAGACGGGAGTAATAAGTAGTATTACATATTTATGTAAGTGGAGAATGACTTCATTAAATAGATCTTCCTTTATAAATTTAGTAAGATGTGATTACTAGATAATATTACATCTCATCCAATTCTTAGTATTAACAGTAGGTATGACCAAACAAAATCAGCCAACAAAACTAAAGCTTCAAATAGTTAACTAAATTGCCAAACTTGTTTCCTTTTATTGGTTAAAGTGTGGCAATCTTGTGAACATGTTTGCATGGGGCAAGTGTGAGGTGTTGGTAGATTACGGGTGCATAATTTTACATCGCTTAAGTAATGCATAATCTTACATCGCTTAAGTAAAGTCGATGGTAGTCTACCAACACCTCACACTTGCCCCACGCAAACATGTTCATAAGGTTGTCACACTTTAACCTACAAAAGGAAACTAGTGTGGCAATTTGGTTAACTATTTGAAGCTTTAGTTTTGTTGGCTGATTTTGTTTGGTCATACCTACTGTAAATGCTAACAATTGGATGAGATACTATACTGCATTATCTAGTAGTCACATTTTACTAAATTTACAAGGGGAGATGCTATTTAATGAAGCCATTCTCCACTTACATAAATATGCCATACTACTTATTATTCCTAGTCCCAAAATACATGTTTATCTTTTCTTTTTCAAAATATTTCAAAATACATGTTCTTTTTCAAAAATAAATATACTATTTTTCATCACATTTCCAAACCTTCCCTTTTCTATTTACTTGGTTAAAGACATTAAATTTTCAAAAGTAAATGATGTCATGCCCCACTGTATAGTACTATATACACGACCCTCTCATCACTCAAATAAACATTCAAAATTGAAACTTCAAAGTAAATGATGTCATGCCCCCAAAAAATGAAGTACGAAGTAACTTCCCACCAATTAAATTCTGTTTTAAAATTTGACTAAATCTCAGTATAGTGAAAACTTCAATAGTTAGTAGTACTATCATTTTCACAACCATGGAACTTCACTCTTTATTTGTACAATAAAAAACATTATTAAGTCAATCTCTGCTTGTAGAGCGAGGACCGATGTGTTAGTGCTTTATTGGCCAACACCTTTAAGACCGAATTCAAAGAAAACGTGTCATCATACAATTGGCAGTAGTTAATTGATCATTAATGAACCGTTGCTTGTGTTTTTTTTTTTTTTTTTTAACCACTGTTCCAACATGACAATTCCTAAATCAGAGATCAAGATGTGACAATTACTGAAATAAAGACTTTAAGAAGAGAGTATCTATTTATCTATTACTAACGAAGATTTCCTTATTCGACACGAAGGAGTGTAGTCGCACAAAAACCGATCTTCCACAAAGTTTAATTCAACAATCTTCCTAGTTATTTGTGAGAAAAAGCTCAGAAAACTCCAAATTGATAGGGGTAGCAACTTTTGATTTCCCTTGCCCAACTATTCTCCTATTCACACTTCAAATTTCTTGCAACAGATCATTCAATTCCACACGGCAAGGCCATAGTAGTCAACTTCATGAAACAGATCATTCAATTCCACACGGCAAGGCCATAGTAGTCAACTTCATGAAACATACTTGTTTGGGAGTAAACAAACATGTTGTTGACGTAAGGGTTTGTGTCATGGTTTGTTGTATCAGTGATGGTCGTGATATCGGTTGTGATCGTGATATCGGTTGCGGTGTAACAGATTCAGATAAAGTCAGTTGTATCGGTGATGGTCGCGATATCGATCGCGGTGTAACAAATTCGAACAAAATTAGAGTAACGTATCGATCGATACGTAACGTATCGAATGATACGACGAACCATAATTTGTGCACACTCTTTCATATTTCGGAGGGAAATTGATTCGATTATATCATCTCTCAAGATTCATCCCATGCTTTATAACTTTTTGGGTAGGTGATATCCCCTTCATGTGATCAACTACCCTATCTGTAGATTAAAAATACCAAATCAATAAAAGTTTTAAATCAGTCTTGGCTATATATATATATACCTAATGTGATATACAATTGCAATTATGAGGCCATATCTTCAATGCCATAATCCTCAACTGTGATAATGCTTTCGCATTACTTGCTTGCAGCTCCATAAAAATTTCTCCTTGAGAATCACAGGGCACTTGACCCTTATGGGCTACATGCACTACTTTTCTAGATATTTCAAATTGTTGTGTGATCCAAGAGTGTCTCTACTCTCACCCCTTACTTTCAACCACCTCATACTGCACCCCCTACTCTCATCAGCTCTTCCCTTCTTCCTCTCTCTCTCTCTTCTCTCTACACACACTGTCACTACTATCACTCTCTCTCTCTCTCTCTCTCTTCCTGCATTGGGCTGTATTTTGGTAATTTCTCTTGGGCTGTATTCTGTTCTTTGGAGAACCTGGTTGTTGGGCTGTCTTGGGCCATTGGCCTTATAAATTTACTCATACATACATATATATATATATAATTCTTCTTTTGAAAAGACTTAGCTCCACCCTTTTGTTATAGATCCTCGTCACCTTTCAATGTCACTTTTTTGTGACAAGTTAACTTGCCAACTTGGCAATCCTCTAAATCTTCATGCCCAAAATCTTCTTGGTTACAACAAGATTTTTCATCTCAACTTTAAAATTTAACTATATTTCGAAAAAAAAAAAAAAAAAACACAACTTTAGAATTTAACTGAAACTTTTGACTATTTTGAAATAGTTTAGGTTAGGTTTTAGGGTTTATGGGTATAATATCTGTTCAACAAAAGCAGCTTGTATAATGTAAACTTTGTAAGAATCAATTATTTCAACATAAATAAATAAATAAAAAAAAAAACACCCAACTTGGTATGCGAAACTAAAATCAAATTTATAGCTAAAACTCAATTATTTTCACCCTCTTATTTCTTATTCCCACTATTTTTCTGTCCCTCCAAATTAAACAGGAATTTGTTACTCAATTTGGGTTGCCGTGTTACATTGGAGGACTTTTAAACATCACATGGCTACAATATAAACATTATATTGTCTAGTGCATAAAACATCATTAAAGTACCTTACAATGCATATCACATCATGTGCAAAAAACACCAAAGTTTTAATTTGGTGCAAAAAAGTCCATTTGACAAATTTAATCTTAAGTTGATTAAATTACCCTTACTAAACCATTTTATCAAATATACAGAAATAAATAATTTTATAAAAATACCGAAATGACACTATTAGAGAATGCCCTCACTTGCAAAAACACACCCCCAAAGTTTTGAAGTTTTAATTTTGTGCAAGTGACAAGTTTAAATTATAAGTTAACTAAATTATTATTAGTGACATTAGTGAACAATTTTATGAAATATATAAAAATAAATAATTTTGTAAAATGACCTGACGGACAAGTAAATATAAAAATAGAAAATAAAAATAAAATTATAAAATAAAAGTAAAGAAAAAAAAAAAAATAATAATAATAAAAGAAAACAAATTTTCTCCAAAATCTGAACACCAATATTGAGATATATTTTTTTGGTACAAAAACAAAGAAAAAAATTAGTAGCAAATAGTAAATTAAAATCTCAAAAAATTCAAATAGATGCTTCACAAATTCTAAAAGCTTCACAGAAAAACTTTAGAGATATTTACAGAGAAAAAAGTTTCAAAAGAATATATACATCCTTTAATGTGCCCATAACCCCTATACTATGAAATTAGTTGCATATATACTCCCCTTGCATTTTTGGAAAAGTAAAATAGTAAAATGGACATTACAACACTAATTTATGTTAGAGGGGTATTTTGCACAATGTGAAAAGATTAGGATGTTTTTTTGGATACATTTTTAAATAGAGGTAAAAGTGCTTTGCAAAAATTTTACTGAGTGTTTTCTACACTTGTCCCAAATAAGAGCTATAATAAATAGATATGCTATCTTTAATTACTAAAAATAATATGGTGAGTAAATACTCACTTATCAAATGGTAATTTATTATTGATCCACAAAACTAATAAGGATGGTGTAAATCCTCGCTAACCCCAAATAATACATACCAATTGGAGATCTTATCAAATATGTAATATATAAATAAGCCAAAAAAAAAATATTTGTGGTGTTTCATGATCCAAATGGTATTGAAGAAACCATAAATCCGGATATCCACATTAGAGATGTAGCAATTGGTAATGGAGGCAATTAAACATACTATTACAAAAAACACACACACAAAACACCAATATTGTGTGATTATGATTTTACCATTCACTACCAGTTGAAAGACAGTAGTAGAGAAACGAGAGTCTGTGCTGAGTGGAAGGAGAAGTCGTTTATGAAAAAGGCTCACGGCCCTATCCACTGCCCTAAAACACACCATATATATATATATATATGGTGTCTCATCTCATCATGGCATCCACATTCCTCTTAGCCCATCACTTTAAGATAACAAAATTTATAATTTTTCTAATTTTGTAAACATTATTATTAATTGTGTTTCTACTAAATTCCATCCATGCAATTATATATATATATATGAAAAATTTGGTCAAAACAAGTGCGTGTAACAATCAGATCATAGACAAATAGCCTCACTGAAATCCGCTAAGATAATTTAAATTATCATCATAAGCCCCTTTACATGAACCCTAATTTGTATACATATTCCGACAATAAAAATAAATAAATAAATAAAAATTTAAAAACTTAGATAATCAATAAAAAGTGAGATGATTAAGATTCAAAACAGAGAACAAAAGTCAAAAGATTTTTGGTAAAGAGTGCTCAGACAGCCAAGGGTTTGTCTTCAACTTCTGCGTATTGAATCCCAGAGTCAGAAACTCTAGTCCACATATAGCTTCATCACCACACAAACACACATCTTTTAAATAAACAAACAAACCCAAAAGATTATATATAAAATAGAGAATTATAATGCAAAAATAAAGCACTAGATTAGAACTGAAAAAAAAAAAAACAAAAAAAGGGAGTGGAGAGGAAGAGAGAAGCAGAACGTAAACTAGAGAGATGAAAGTTATTGCTGGTATCGTGTATATATATAGAGAGAGAGGTTTTTGTGCGTGCTAGGGTTTCAGAGTAAGGAAAAAACATACTATGTATATTGCCGGATTTGAAGGTAAAAAAAAAATTTAATACTAATAATTTGCGGATTTGGTAATTTAGGTGTTCTTTAGTAGAATAAACGGGTCGGGTCATATTAGTGGACCGGGTCTTATAGACTACTTGGATTTATGTATTTGAGGGTTAAAACATATATTTTGCTATGGATTTTACCGTGATGTGAGAACGATTAGTTATTCATAAATCATTGACGGATTCTTTAGGTAGAATTGTTATAAAAATATATCATGTTAGGTTTGTGTAAACAGGTCGGATCTTTTAAATGGATATTCGTGCTAACCAGGATTCACATGATGTGAATGTTGAAATTTTATAAAATAATACAAAAGTTAAAGAATTTTGAAAAAGAATTGTTTAATATATATGAATCAAATGGGGTTTTTCAACCACTTGAATAACAATTAAAATGGTTTTTATTTTTCCAAATTTTGCTGTAAATTAAGATGTAAAAAACTTTTACTGAAAAAATAGTAATAATGTATTTTCTTTCATATTTAAAAAATAAAAAGAATCATTATGATATTACTGGTTGGCCCAATCCATATTCGATCCGTTGCAATGGATTGACTATGACTTGCTCATATTTAACCGACAAAACCTGACCCAACCCGTTAGCCAACAATATAGGGAATTTCTAGATACTTATGTGTATTTTTCATTAGATTAGATACAACAGCTTATTTTTAACAGAGAATTTTATTCTTCTTATAGAAATCCAAGCCTTTGACTCGATACTAGCAAAATTCACACGTGGTGAATTAATTATGATTTTTTTTTTTTTTTTTTTTTTTTTTTTGCACACACTAAAATCAAATTGAAATATACTTGAATCCTTAAATAAACACCATTACAAAATATTTGAAGTATAAAATCGAAATTGAACTCAATATATATGATCATAATTTACACAAATCCATATAATACAATAATATACTATGAATTCAAATCGAATAAACAATTAAAGTAAATACAAAAAAAATAATATTATTAATAAATACAAACATATGTAAATTGAGTATTTTGGAACTAATTATAACTACCTTATTAAATATGATTATATAAAAGATTTGAACTATGAATAACAAATGCAATGGGATTGAATATGGTTCACACCATGCACTAAAAAAATATTTTATTTTACAAATACCAAAATCAAATTGAAACACACTAAAATCCTCAAAAACTACCATCATGAAATATTTGAACTATAAGCTCCAAAATGAACTCAATCTATTCGATCAAAATTTACCCAAACGCATACAATACAATGATGTTCTGATTTCAATTCATATAGACAATTAAAATGCGTATAAATAATTAAATTTTTAAAAAATACAACTATATGTAAATTTAGTACCTTTAGAGCTGATTACAGATAACTTTATGTTGATGGGTTGACTTGAATCCTTTGGTTGGGACTAATCCATTTGAACATTATTCACATTCAATGTAAGTAGGGTTATATTCAACCATAAATGGAAAAATATTGAATGGAACCTAACTTTCTAAAGGCTTACTGAGATAATTGGAGAATTAATTTATTCAGTTCTTAAAAAAGTTAATCTGTAGCAAACAAGTATCACAAATTCAATAATGAATTGAAAAGGCAAACACCATTCACTTGCATGACCAATATTTTTTCATAAACAATATCATATGAATAATTTTTTAAAAGACACTAACTGATAAAAGAAAAAAAAAATGAGGAGTTTTAATAAATAACATATATAAAAAATGACTTGAATGAAGGTTAAGGTTACCTAATATTGATGTCATAGTTGGAGAGTTCTTCAAGAATATCCCACCACAAATAAAATTTTATTTTCTTCAATTCCTTGTTTTAGGTAACAAAACTTTCAATTTTATTGGTAGGAACAACTTGGTTAGAGATCCAAATGAATCTATGTGCATTTTTTAAATCATATACCCAATTTTTTATGGAGGAAGAATATGTATTCCGTGGCAAAAGTGATGGGAGGTAGCTTGTTCTTGCTAAAAGAAAAAGGAAAAGAAATGAGATATTTTATTTTAGTACTAATACATGAACATGTATAAATGTTATTGAGCTAATGAAAACGAATATCAAATATATATATAGCATTCTTCTTCCATTTTTCATATTCCAAATGAGGATGCCAAATGCATTACTCCCATTGCTATAGAAGGCAGTAATGCATTATCTAACCCCAACTAAACAAAAAGATGAAGATTCTGGTAAATCACAAGACACGCCTTGCAACAATGAACCATCACATAATTTAAGAAAAAAAAAATGTTAGAAAACTTTGGAGACAATGACCCATCACATAATTTAAAAATACTATTAATAATACATTTTTTTAATTTAAAATAGTATAAAAATGTATTGAAATAATTAACTTTTTTATACATTTTTATAAGTGGGATAGATAGATAAGAATATTGTATTGAAAATATAAGAAACTATGAAACTGAAGTTGGGTGGACGTCTATTTTAAAAACAAAAATAGTAGTCTCTTTTTTTCGCAGCGTTTTTAGTTTTTTATTTTAAAACAAAAATGGTAATTTATTTTTCCTTTTACATTTTTTTTTCTTTTTTGTTTAAACCTTTCTGGAGGCATTACAAACCATTATATATAGTTGATATATATGTTAATAAATTTTCTAAATTTAAAATAAAAAAATTGGAAATAGAGAAATTTTTTGAAGTTGGGTGGACGTGTGTTTTAAAAACAAAAAATGGTACAATTTGTTCTTTCCCTTTTATGTTTTCTTTTTGTTGTGTGTGTGTGTGTGTTTTTTTTTTTTTTTTTTTTTTAAACAAAGTTGGTACGATTTTTTTTTTCCTTTTACAATTTTTTTTTTTTTTTTTTTTTTTTTGGAATAATGTGAATTAGGCTCTAGAATTTTTTTTTTTTCCATGTAAGTTTTTTTTTCTTTCCTTTTTTATAGTGAAGAATATAAAGAATAAAAAGTATAATTAATTTGATTTAAAAATACTTTTAATATTTTTTTAATATAAAAATTATGGTTTAAATATATACATGTTGAAGAATCTGAACAATCCAATAGAGTAATTAATTGGATTAAAAAACATGTTTTTTGGTCTTCCTCAACTTTTATTTATAAAATATTAGGTCATATATAATATATACATTTATATATCCTTATCAATCTCTCAATAGGACTCAAGCGTTGTATTTACATATAATAAAAATAAAATTTTAAAAAATTATTACTTTATATGGAGAGAGTTGTCCTACCGAAAGAAAAATAAATTCTTAAACTATCGCAAGCTGAAGAAATCCAATATTACCAACTTAGCCATAACTTTAAACTAATTTATAGATAAAAAATACTCTAAACTCCGATATTTTGTTCACAATTCATCTTCATCACAAAAGAATCGGCAATTGTGTCATACAAAAAGCTTTACAATGTGGAGTCACCCAATTTTTGTTTGCCATTTATATCGCTATAAATAAGGATCTCCACTTGCTCACATCTACAAAATCAATTTCCCAAAAATAAAAATCTTTTTATTCCAAAACACATAAATTCCGAATTATCAAATTTTGTACAAAAATTCAGTATATGTACATGTATATACCTACCCCTGTGATCTTTACTTCATAAAAATTATTGACAATAACATCTTCATAAAATATATTGTGTCGCATCTGTGCGCCCTATATATACACACATACACAAGATAACATATACATACATACATACATATCTATATTATAGAAGAAAAATAAAAGAAATTGGTGAAAGTAAGCTTACGGTTTCCTAACCAGAATAAAGTTGACCATAATATCTTCATAGAATATCTTGTGTCGTATTTGTGCGCCCTATATACACACACATACACAAAGATAACATAGACATATATATATAGATATCTACATAATAGAGAAAAAATTTAAAAGAAATACAAAGATAACATAGACATGCATACATAGATATGTAATAGATATCTACATAATATATATAGAAGAAAAATTTTTAAAAAAAAATTTAAAAATAAAAAAAATAAAAAAAATAATTGGTGGAAGTAAGCTTACGATTTCATTACCAGAACAAATTTTTTCTCATACCTAGGACTTTCTCAAGCAGTATCGTCTTCTTTATAAAAGTAAGAGTAGAAAAAAATAATGATTATGCAAGTGAGAAATTCAAACGGAAAATGAGAGCAAAGATATTCTTATGCATGTATGTGTAACACAATTTATTAAAATTAAATAGAAAGATGGAAAGTCAAGAGTTGTAACTCTTGAAATAAATACAAGATATT